CTGCTCTTTTAAGCAACGTCATCAGCAGCAGCAGCAGCAGCACCAGCAGCAGCAACTGCAATCAGCAGCTACAACAACTGCGGGCAGACGGAAACTCATTAGCGAAAACTGTGTCTTGGCAGCCGCCGATCTCTGCCAGCCGTCGCATGCGAAATGCGTCCTTGCCGCCCAGTGCAGCCCCGACCACCCGCCCACCCCCCTCGCTACTATCGTCCAACTCTCCTCATCCTCTGCAGCCTCTGCCTGTGTCACCTGGCAGCATCGTTATGAGGCGTTTAAAATTTATGTGCTGCTGCTAATACCCTAACCGAATTGAACAACCGCAAAAAGTGACTTTACTCTACAACCAACAAGTGGCTATATGCAACTGCGCATGACTGTATGCGCGAAGAGAATGTCTTTTAAATCAAGAAGATTAAGCTTGTAATCGGTTCAAGATTCGAACCAGCACCCTGCCTTAAGGTGTGCCGGTTGACATAAACTTAAGCCCAGGTTTTTCATATATTTTCCAATTTTCTACTTCGGATGTTATTAGGACAACTATTTTGGCTTGCGCTTGCGGCTCGTAGTATAAAATGTTTTGTAGTTCTGAGTTTGAACCGGCTTGCTTCAAAGCCGATTTGCGGTATTGGTTCTAGCTTGCGTATTTTTCTACAAGCTGTATGAGAACTTAGTCCAAGTTTTAATATAACATTTTCCAATTATTTTAAGACAGTTTTTTAAATATCCCATGGGAAAATCAACTAAATTGTTGTATTAACAGAATATTAATACGTTTAGGTAGAAATTTTTTAAGGTAATGATAAAATGCCTTCAAATCTAACGTTTCACTTAAAAATACCTAAACACTTTACTCTCAGACTTTCAAACATTCAAAAATCAAGAAATTCTAATTTCAAGTTTTCGGAAGTTAATTTCCTAATTAAGTTGTTTTAAATTGTGAAAATGATCTGTTAACTATGTTTTTGCATTCTCTGACTAGAGTAGAGCATTTAAGCTTCGTTGTGGCTTGTGTCACGTGTTGTGCGTTTGCACATGCAATGCCCTCAACGTTAGCGACAACCCATTGTGCCCGCTTCGTTTCTCGCCCGGCCCTCTGGCAACGCGTTGCGAGTTCTTTCCTGCCTCCTTGCAGCAACAACCTTTGCTGCTGCTGGGCTTTGGGTTTGAGTTTTGTTGCTGTTGTTTGTTTTTTATGCATAAAAATTTTTATGACGACAGGTTGGCTGCTTGGCTGGCTGCCTGGCTGACTGGCTGCCTGGCTGGTTGATTCTCTGCAGGGGCTGGCAAAGCGATTTCACGCTTGACGTCGTCGCCATGCGGGCGATGTGGCGCCACCTAGCGGCTCAGCCTGCTGCATCGGTGGGCGCCTGCTCCTGCCTCTGCTCCTGCTCCTGATGCTGCTGATGACGTTGCCGTCAACGTGCCCGACACGACCAAATAAATGAATGGCTGGAAAACGAGCAGCCAGATCTGCGGCCGCAGCCAAAGCCGGAGCCGGAGTTGAAGCCAGCGACAGAGGCAGAGGCAGAGACAGAGACGTAGACGGAGCCGGTGCCCGAGATGAGTGGTTGACATGTAGCCGCCATTAGCGGTAAGATGACAAGCGTTGAAAGCGCGCCCCGGGAATTAAAACGCAAAAAAAATGCAAGAAGAAAAAGCGCGCGCCAAAGAATGGGATGCGATAGTTTTTTTCATTTCATTTCATTTCTCGCTCGCTCTTGCGCTTGCCTCTGCTTTTTATGATGACAGCAATAGAGCAGAAAAAACCGCAGCGCAATAAAAAAAGAGGTGCAAAAATCATCAGCATGCTGATAGAGTTTTCAGACCAACCAACCGCCCACCCGCCCCCTTGCCGCGCGCCTCTTCGAAACGTCCGCCTGTCACATTAAAGTATCATTTGCAGTCACTCAGCCCGGCTTTTCAATCCGGACGAGCTTTTGTGGGGCCGCCCACATTGACACGCCTCTGTGGCACGCCCAGCTACCTGACTGCGATTTAAGTCAACGGCCGCCCTCAAGCTTTTCCCTGCAATGCAACCCAAGCCTCCGCCCTACTCCCCGGCCGAAATGGTCATCCTCTCGACCGTCCTATTGATTTCACAAATCGTGGCAAACATAATTTATGGAATTTTTGAGTAGCTCAACATTTGTGGCAGCTTAAATCGCGTCTCTGCCACTGATTAGCGTTAATTTATTTGCAATGCTTTTTCACTGGTTGTCACTGTCACTGGACTCGTCCGCCCGCCCACCCGTCCCACTCGTTGCAGGGGGCGTGGCCTGTCGAGGCAAAAAGCGGCCTGGAAACAACACGAGAATGAATTGTAATGAAGACATTAACATTAATAATTGCCCAAGTGGTGGCGGTTAAGCGGCTGTGGCGGACGGGGCCATGTTGCATGCATTCAATTTATGCGGCAAAGCCAACGCAGCAGCCGCAGCGCAGTGGCACTCGCTTAGAAGTGGCCGCAGCCACCGCAGCTTTGGGTTAGCGGGAATCGAGGCCCAGCAAAGTACTTTAAGGATAATCTATGTAGGGTATGCCAACATCTAATTAAGCTTATTTCTTGAATTTATCGATTGCGATAGATATCGATGAGATATCGACATTTTTATCGATTGGTCGGCGTCTCCTCAGCTTTGGGTTAGCGGGAATCTCGACTCTCGAATCTCGAGTATTTTACGGATAATCTATGTAGAGTATGTCAGAATCGAACAATTTCTACTTAGGCCTTTTCGAGAATCTGTCGATTATCGTTGATAGCAACAAGTTCTCGATTAAGCGCTTAAGGTTAGTGGCAATCCAGCAAAGAAATGTAATAAATATATTTTAAGATGTCATAAAACGGTTATCAAAGATATTGATAAGTTATCGACATTGCTATCGACTGCTCGCAGACACCACAGATATTGGCTAGTTTTCGACATTGTTATCGGCTGTTATAAGTTTGCTATTTTGGCTATTTATCGATAAATATCGGTGCTGTTGCAATTCCATAAAATTCCATGAATAAATATTACAATGGGAATTTATATAAAGGGATTCTTTTTAATTTTTAAGCTGATTCACAAATATAAGAGCTGCCAACTCTTTGAGGGAACCAAAAGATGTTGCAATTTATTTGCAGCATAGAAATTGGAAATATTTGCAGAGTGCTCCACAAGTTGCTGTCTCACTGACTGCCAAATACTCAGTGCAATTCCTCTTGACTTAAAGCTGTCCTGGCTGGAGTTGCGGCAAGCAGAGGGGAGCTCAACGCACTTGCAGCTGCTTTGCTGCAGACTTTGGGCGAGTTCTAAAAGGCTTTACCTGTGGCAGGTTGCGAGCGTGCCTGTGTGTGTGTGTGTGTGTGTGTGTGTGGGAGAACAGTTGCTCTTGAGCAGCAAGGAGGAGGAGTAGGAGTTAAATCTTTTGGCAGGCAGGCGATTCAATGGGAGTGTCAGTTGTTATTGTTGTTGTCGTTGTGGGCGTAAATCTGACGCATTCCTTGGCTGACATACAGAATGTGTTGGGTTACGCGTTAAATCCACTAAACAAATGCTGGTCAATTTCAAGTTGAGTGTCAGCGGGCAGACAATGGAAAATCGGCGGAAAATTCCACACGTTTTACGACAAAAACTGTCCAAAGCCATTGCCATGAAAATTGACAGGAAGTGCTGCGCAGTAAGGGAGGGAGGGTGAAATTCCAGCACATTTTTTTATTGAGCAACATCGATTGAGCTCGAGAGCTAAATAAACTCAATACAAGAAATCCTTTTATTAAAGGCGAAAGACCTGGCAACACTGACGATGCCAATAAAAAGCGCAAACGACAGCGCGCAACACTGTCGCCGCCAGTGTTGTCGAATGTCGGAAGGAAATGTCGTCATTACTGTGCAACTCATTGAGAGCAAAGACAGCGACAACAACATCAACAACATCGACAACAACAATGTGAAGAACAAGAATGAGTCCAAGCTGAAGTCGTCAAGGAATTTCAGTATTTTCACACTTGATAGCAGAAGCCAGCATGCAATATAAAAATAGAGACAGAAGCAAGAAATGGAGTCTCGTTGAGGGGTAGATTGGGTTATACTAGTATACAGGCGGGCTGCTGACATGGGGGGGGGGGGGGGGGGGGGGGGGGTTGGCGGCTGCTGGGATCCTCTCGCTTACGCAATATGCAAATGTGTTAAGAATCTTACAAATTTGTTAAGCAAATCGAAGACGAACCCAAGCAAAGCACGAAAATCCCCCCTCAAACACATTTATCATCAGGCAGTTGAATGACTGTGAAACGGGGCCGCATGCTGGGCAAGGGGAGGGGGCAGCTGTGTGCGTGTGTGTGTGAGTGTGTTGGTGTGCTTGTGAGCTGGTGTGTGGGAAGGCTTTGATTTATTCATGTGCCAGGTAACACGTTGAGGTTAATAGGCGGGCGCAATGAGGCCCGAACTTGAGGTTTATGAGCTGCCAAACGCGCCCAATAAAAGATTTGCGTTTTGTCGGCAATTTGTGAAACAAGGCCGCAGTTTGTTGCATTCATAAAAAACGGCACATAAATCAGCAGCAGCAGAAGTAGCAGCAGCAGCGGCCGTGGCAAGTGGCGCCGAAAGAGTTCTGCCCAGCCCAATGCTAATATCTTTTAGATATTTGATCGGATTTAGCTTAAATATATGTTTTATGAAATATCGAAATACCCATTGATCATCAGCAGCAGAGGAATAACAGCCGTCAACCGAATAACAGCAGCATAACAGACAACTAACAGCAGACTAACAGAAGAGCAGCTGCAATTGAACATTATAGTTGTGTACGAGTATATAGAGGGAGGAGTATATAATAAGTATAATAAGCATTAAATAGGAAGGGAAATCTTTTCCATAAACCATTTCTTAACCTAAGCATACATTCCTGAAGTAATGCTACGACTCTTAATTAATTAATATCAAACACGCACATAAATACTCGCATAGGTTCAAATTATGTATGTATATATTCATCTTCAGTATCCATGCACTTACCTGGAACTTCAATCCGATTTGTCGTTATTTATTATTCCCATTCATGTTGAATATTTTTTTTCCTTAATTAGCGATTCAGCTTTAATTTATACAGTAAACTTCGGCACAGCGAGCTGGTTCTAATTCTTTAACTAAAACTTTGTGCCAATTCCGTTTTCCAAATCTGTGAACAATGCATTGCAAGAAAAATAAACGATTACTTTAATATTTGCTGTACTTTATAAAATTTAAATAAATTATATTCGTAGTTCTATAAAAGAGAAGGTTTATGGACTATACAGAAATCTTTTGCACTCATCTAAATTTTAAGTATCTGAAAGATTCATCACGCAATCTCAATAAGAATAAAAAATATTATTCCAAATATTATTAAAATGTGTGCCTAATTAAATATTTAAGTCCTGATAGTTCCATGACTCGAACAAAGTACAGTAAATGGCAAATATTTAGATATTTGATATACCTAGTGTCCCGTTTGAGGAGCTTGGCCTGAAATCGAAGGGCCAGTAAAGCGATTTAAATGCGTGTTTTCGCTTGAGTTTCTTGCCAAATTGTTGCAAGTTCGCACTTTGGGCCAAAATTCGGGCCATAAATCTTTGCGTTGGCGCCATCTAGCGGGCGCTAATTTCACTTCTCTTCTTGTTGTTTCTTGTTAAACGCACGAATAAATAAAAATAATTTGGCAACAGCGTCAAGCACACCCCCACACCCTACGCAAGGGGAAATGCGAGCGAAGAACACTTCAAACAGTTTTTGGCCTCTGCCACCTGGGCTGGTTGGGGTGGTTGGGTGGTTGGGAGGTTGGGGGGTGGTTGGCTCCAGCAAGTTGGTTGGGTGAGTCTGTTGATTTCTTCGCTGGGCGCTCGTCCATATAATGCGGCAGAGGCTGCGAATTTAAATTTGATTTCACTGGCGCTGCTGCTGCTGCCGCTGCCACAAAGTAAACAAAAGTTGCCTGCATGTAAATTCAATTTGAATGCTCTTCAATGAGCTTTCACAAGCTGGGCGAGCACGGAAACGGGAGTGCCAGGATGTTAGATGTATGCCTGGCGGCTATATGGGCATGGGAACCAGCACGGGGCACGGATCACGGAAACAGGCGGGCGGGCGACTGGTTATCAATGGCGGCTGGCGCGTTATGCGCGCGACTGCACTAAGCAGCGATTATCCTGGCACGAGTCCTGCTGTTGCTGCCGCCGCTGCTGCTGCTGCTGCTGCTGCTGCTGCTCCTGCTTCTGTTGTTGTTGCCCCCTGCCCCAGCCCAGCCCAGCCCAGCCCAGGCCATCGTCTGTCGCACTTCGGTAGAGAAAACTTGCGCCAAGTTTCGGTAGCCAGTACACATAAATAACGGCAGCCGGCATAATATATTCATATGCGCGCATAAGCTGCTGAAAATTTATGCTAATGCTGCCTCGCACGCAGCGCAGTCGGCGTCGACGTCCGCGTTGGGGCATAATCAAACAGTCTGCAAGTTAAACAACTGGCAAAACTTTGGTTTTAACTGCCAGCCAGCCAGTCAGCCAGCCAGCCAGCTGGCAATGGCAATGGCAATGCACAATGTTGCGTCAGGTGGAAAGAGGGGGAGGGACCCAACTACTAAACGTTGCAACGTCTGACGCGCTGCCTGACACGAGCGGCAGCAGCAGCAGCGACGCAGGTGATAAATGTCAGCGCATCCTGTTGCCACATAATTCTTGCTTTCTTTTCGCATTCATTCATTTTGTTGCACGCGACAGCTGGCAGTGCTTGCAACAACAACAGTGGCTAAAAGCGTGCGGCAACTGCACGGGATTGGGCGCTGCTTGCGTGGCATGTGGCACGCTGTGTGGCCTGCCTTGAATGCAGTTATTTGGTGCCCTGCATGCAAAACGAACGCCACAAATTTATTGGCATCATCATCGTCGCTTTTGGCAAAACACTTTGCAACCTCTTTCCGAAACGCATCACTTGATATTTGGAGATTTCGAGGTAAGCCCCAAAATGGGGCAGTTCTCTTGAGGAGGAGGGGGTCCGCAGTCTATTCTCTGTATATTTTAAATTGTTCCAATTTATTAAATTAAGAGATTTCTCAATTCTAGTATAAATAGAATTAACAGCTTCAAATGGAAAGATCTGACAAAGTTTTTGAATTCAGATGCGTTATAAAGTAAAAAAGCACTAAAAAGTATATACAATACAAAGTGTCGACGAAACCACAAGTAAAAGTAAATGTTAAATAAATTATTCATTAACTTTATTATTTATTTCTTACTCGATTCCTACAAGAATGTAACTGTAATATAAAATGATTCTCCACCTGTACATACTATTCTAGAAGCTACATATCAAATATGTTGACTCTAGCTCTTAAAACCTAAGAGATTTGCTCGAAAAACAGGATTTCGATATCACTTCTTATCGATTGCTTGGAAACGGGGCAAGTTATCGATTATCGGAAACAGCAGGAAATCGCAGACCTTACGTTCAAAATTTCAATTCTTTAGGTCCGATAGGTTGAGACAGACAGACGGACATGGCTAATTCGTCTTGGCTATTGATGCTGAACAAGAATATACATATATAGTTTATGGGGTCGGGGATGCTTCCGCTCTCTGGTACATACATTAGCAAAGAACCATTATACGCTTTAAAATGGCTTCAGGGTATGAACAATTGTCTTTAATTAGTTGAGAAAAGTATTTATTCTTATTAGTAGCTGCCTTTTCTATCTCCTCTTTTTTCCCTTTTAATGAGCCATTTTTTGTATGCAATTTCATATGACAACCGAATGTTTTTACTTATTTATTCATCATTTTAAAAAAATTAATTTATTTTGACTACACTGGGGATCGAACTCCGGACCTTCTGCCCGTGATTCTTACGCTTAGCTCACCTCACCTCTTAAGCGAGCTGAAGGGCCCTGGTAAAATATACATTATGTAGTTTGCAAAATGTCAAAGGTACATTTATAAGTTTGGCTGTGTTGTTTGTTTGTCAATAATATGAAATTAAAATAAACAAACATATAAACTGAAAAGATTTCGTAGGGATTGGAACAACCGATCTCCTAATTGCGCCCTAGCAAGGCCTACATAGATAACTGTCGTGTGGTTTATCTTTATTTTATGAAAGCTTTGAACGAGCTTTTCCTGAATTAATTAAAATGGTTAATTAAATATTCTAAAATGCAGTGCTTGCATCAGGTAATCAACCCCTATCAACTAATTTAATTATATTATCTTATTTTTAAAGTCAATTAATTGTATTTGAATCCTGACAATTAAATTTTTGAGCCTTTGCCGCAAACAGTTTCATACAAAAATATATTATATATTTAATTTTGAGTTAAATTAAAATTAGTTCAACGAAAGAGGAAAAAATATGAAAATATTTAAACGAATTTATTTTCGAGGAGTTTTATGACAATTAGAGGACATTCTGAGGTATCAGCTTCATTAATGTCACGTCAGTGCAACTCTCGCTCCCTCTCTCCTTGTCTCTCTCTCATTTTCTGTGTTGATCAATAAACATAATGCAGTGTTGAGAAGGGCAACATGCGCATCATTTGTAATGCCATTAGCCTCCGGGGCAACCAATTTGATTAGCAGGCTGGCAAATCATTAGCAAACATAAGTAAGCTGACTCAGGACGGGTAGAGGGGTAGGAAGGGGGGGGGGGGGAGTGCGAAGAATAAGCAGGGGACATGGAGCCAGGAGCAGTGTGAAGCATCAACGGGGCCATGTTAAACATATGCAAACAAGTGCGTGGATGTGTTGCGAGCTGTTGCTGAGCGGAGCAAATAGGCAACAAATTAAATAAGTAACAAAGTCGAAATCAGAGGCAGGCCAAACATACGAACAGACAGACAAACAGTCTGACAGACAGACCGAACCGAAACAGACAGATAAACATGCAAACAGATGCGTCAGAGCGTTGTGGCAGGGCAAACAGATAAGACAGCTTAGCAGATAACATGAGACAGTCATTTGTGTTGACGAGGATGCCACAAGGAGGCAGAAGAGGCAGCAGTGGCGGCAGAGGCGGCCACAGTTACAGCAGCACCAGCTGATGATGATGAGGATGAAGATGATACTGAAGCCGAAACTAGCTAGCAAATCCCCATGGCATCAGACGGCCTGCTTCCTTGCTTCCAGCTTCAGCTTCAGAGTCAGCTTCAGCTTCAGTTTCAGCTGCTCCCGCTCACATGTAAGCGAATTTTGGACCAGCCTAAAATTATGCGCATAAGCATGAGCCTGCCAAGGAATTGGATAGCTTGGTTGGGGCACAGGCGTTCTTTTGGCTTTTTAATAAATGATGCCACCCGCCCCCAATACGCAGCGTGCAACGTGGCGTATGCGTGTCGTGTAATTAATGCGCGCCAAATGAATAAGCAAGCCAAGCAAGCAAAGAAACAAACAGACAAATAATTTCGCCTGCTTAAAGCGGCAGCTGCCAAGCGGAAGGGGGGCCAGGGGCGGGCAGCATATGTGACTGTGACTGTGCTGTGCTCCTTTAGCTATGCGCGGCGGAAGCGACTTCACAAATGATAGGAATAAAATTAAGTGAAATAAAAAGCGACACCAGCAACCAGTAGCCCGCAGCACCAACAACATGTGCCTCCAGCAGAGGTTCCAGGGATGGGGCAAGCCGGGAGGGGGGCCTACACAAAGACGTTACTTTTGCTCGCAGGGCGCAGTTGCTGGCATTAGTCTGCCACCCACTCCTGCTGCTGCTGCTGATGATGCTGCTGCCGCCTGCTTTGGGGCACGCAAAATTTCTGCGCGTGCTACGCAACCGGCGATAAATTTTAATACCCCAGCGACGTCGGCAGCGCTGCGAGCGTCGACAGCGCTGCTAGTCTGGGCGCATTTTAAAATTTATTGTTATTATGTGAATTTTATAAACGATGCTGCTGCGTTGCTGTTACTATTATTGTTGCTGTTGTTGTTGCTGTTGTTGTTGCTGTTGTTGTTGCACTTAATTAAATTTTATGTGCGCGCGCCTTGAATTTAGCTGCAACAGCAGCGCCTTAGCAGCTGCCAGTACAGTCACTACAGCTCAAAAGAAGGCAAAATAATATACAAAAAAAAAAGAAAAAGAAAAAGAAAAAGGATTTCCCTAGTCGTAAGTCTTGTAAATGCGATGTCCGCACCAAAAAATTATAAGCATCAGACTCTTCTTCTG